TGACTTTCATTTTGTTCGCCGACTTAGGCGATATCGTAATCTCCTCAAACACAGCTCACTCTTAGTCTTCTTCCTTGTTTGTATCGAAATTATCTTCAAACTAAGCTACTGGAAGATATATAAGCCAATATCTATTAGTAACTAATGTCACTGACAGACATCTCATCTGGCAGAGATTGTCGTTATGATATATGCTGTCTAGCTGTCAATGATACAGAGTTAGTGTTGTGTTTGAATGAACTAATGATTCCTTTGTACTTGTTGAATGCTTGATTCCGAATTATAAATACAGTACATTCGTTCGTGCTTATCCGGTACCCCTTGATCCGATTACGCTGTTTCTGGGCTTCTAATGATCATAGTTAGGTATAGTTTCATTCGATACTACAGAGTGTATGAAACTTCAGGGTGTGAATGACTCGTTCAGTACTGCACGCAATCTGAGATTTCTCTGTTTTTTAGTCTCTCATCTTAAAACATTTCGTAAGGTCTTCATCAGCACTATTGTGGGATTCGTCATTCAGAACTTCTTCATCAAACAGGCTTTAGTTTTTTTTACATTAATCAGAATGGTTATTTGTTACTTTTGGCGTGTTCATAAAGGTACTTCCAGTCTCTGCATCACTTAACTTGTTTTATAGATATTACTTAGTCTGACTGTAAAATGTCCTGGTTAAATAATTAAGCTACATTTGATTTTCGGCAGTCTAAATACAGTATTATGAGATTATTGTAGCGTGGTATTGAGTCGGAATTGACTGTGAACACCGCTACAAAGGATCGCGTGCCAAGTGAATCAGAAGGCGAAGGTTGAACGTAATCAAATAAATCAATAAGATCCCCGAGAAGCCAAATATCAGAAGACAGGTAATGGACTAAATCGAGATATATTCGCTGGCGATCTCGTGGCATCGAAAGGATACCGAGATCGTGCCAGGATACAAGCTTGGTTACAGAACGTAACCGAATTCGCGCGAAGTCACAATCAAAAGTGTAAGAATCAGAATGGAAGCACAAAATAGCTGTCATTAGCACAGTAAAACAAAGCACATTAAAACAGTCACTGGTACAGTTGGTTATAATAATAATTGTTATTAAACCAGTCGTGTTCTCGTGATAAATGTTAGTCACTACATTATTACTTTCGTAGTAAACGGTATTAAGTCATATCGACGCAGAAATATTGAAATTTCTCAGTAGTATGTTTTTCATGTAATGAGTTTTCCAAAATCTGTTCGCCTTAAAGATAATTTTCATTATAAACTGGTATCAGCAAAGGAACCAATGAAAACTAGGAAATAGTGAACAAATTTAGTGCGCTAATGTAAAAATTTTCGAAGGAGATTTCATACAACACCATGTAGGAATTAACTTATTAGTTGCCTAGTACCGTGTCAATGTTAACTTCATTGTGTTACTGAGTTCAAGTACAATGGTCGATATTTTTTCGATTTTAACGTAAAAGTCGATATTTTCTCGTTCCCTCCAATACGTAGCAAAAGTAAAGGGGTGTTTCATATGAAATGTCAGAAGAAATATATGAAATTAAAAAGACCGTTTATAGTAAATCCAATTATTTACAATTTACGTGTTTATTTACATCCATTATTTAATTCTCAGATCTGTTGATTCAAATCAGGGATCATGAATAGGTCCGCCAATCGAAGTGCTGAAAGGTCGGTAAACACTGAAGTTATTGAAAACACTTGTAGTGGCATTGGACAATAGCCACACAATCCACAAAGCTGTGAACACGAGACTACTCAGAAAATAGATATTCAATATTTAACGCGGAGAAATACCTAACAATGGAGAAGGCGCGAACAATGAATTGAATGGACTGGATTTGATCGGATGGCATGGCTCGGCCATGCAGGCATGGTCCATCTAAATGTTACCTTATATCTTCTATTCATGTTAAATACATTGTTCCTTCTCTAGCCTAACGTCGTTCTACATCATGTATTAGTAATTGATACGATACAGTGAGTTGGTGTAGTCGATGATGTGACTTCCATGTAAGATCTTATAGATTATGCAGTTATATCATGACAAATCTACAATTTTAGGATTGGGTCTATCATTAGAGCAGTACTAATATCGTAGTAGACCATAATTCTACACACTCACATTTAAGTGCACGAAATTTGTAATATACCGAACTGATTCTGTAGTACATTTCATGTCCTATCAATAATAAAACAGAATAGTGAACCCGTGAAAAGTGAGTTATATGAGCAAAAACTAATAAAAATTAAAAACACTTGTAACCCCTAACGTCAACACAGAAAATATTCATACCAGTATAAATTAAACATACTCCCTACCTGCTATACAAGCTGTTGGCCATCTATAATCAGTGGACCAGTGGATGATGTGCTAAGTGTTTGAAGTAAAAGGTACTTATTGGCAGTCTCAGTATGAAAATCAGAATTGAAATGCAGATACATGAACGTGAAGATTCTTTTACTTAGTGCGCCTTACTTGCGCGTATTATCCTTCTTGAGTCATAGACCACTGACAGGAGATCTCCAACCAATTCAATCTTGAATTGTTCTTCAGAGTTGTTGCCAAGTACTATTGGTGGTCTTGACATCTTTCTTCGATTTCCAACTTCATGTGCGTTTTAGTTTCCTTCTTTTCTTTTCGCTTTGAGAGTATCATGTTAAGGCTTGGAACCGTGATTCAGTTCAATGATTTCCGTACAGTGTCTTATCCATCTCCAGCTTCTTTTCTTAATTTCCTCCTCAACTGGCAGCTGACTTGTTCTTGTCCAGCGTAGGTTATTGCTAGTAGTCTAGCCAATGTGTCTGGAGTACCTTGAGTCGCAACTAGTTATGAATGCCTGATGACGGTGCTGGTAGTCTTTCAAGTTTCAACCCAACACAATAGAACTGTTTTAATGTTTGCGTTGAGAATCCCGAGTTTGGTGTTGAGTAACAGTTCTTTTGTATGAATATCGTCTTCGCTTGGCAATTCGTGCCTTCACATTTGCACCAAGTCCTTCATGTTTATCGATGATGCTGTCCAGGTGGGCACCCAAACGCTTCCATCTCTGTCAGAGCTTTGCCACCGAATGGGCCTTGTTTGATGCTCACTATTGTATTTCAGAGTCTTGCTTCCTCACTTGTGAATTTTAATGTCTTTCTGCGTAGGTTGCTGCAACACTGATAAACCGCGTGCATTTATCGTTGTGCATGTGGTAACATGGCTAAATGATCTTCAAAGTCCAAATCGTCCAGCTGCAGTCCAAAGTATCTTACTGTATTCCATCCTCTTCACGAGAACCGGAGGTCCTCATAATGCAGCCAACAACCAGAAGAAAGGTATGAGACGGGAGTAAGCACTTGGAATGGATGTGTGAGATTTCCTGCATGCAAGACTGCGATTTGGCCCTTCGTAGGAGCTCTGCATGATGGTGACGACTCAGGTACTCCGTAATGTCGAAGAAGGTTCCACAGGGTCCTCCTATCCGTGCTGTTGAATGCTTCCTCGTAGTCAGGGAAGTTGATGTATGGTGACGAGCTTCATTTAAGTGATTGTTCAACAGTGATCCGCAGTGTCGCTACATGGGTGTCTAGAGAATCTCTCATTTAGGCCGATAACAGCCTGTCAAGAACTGTGCCTAGTACTAACGGAAGTGTAATTTTTCTGTCGTTCTCAGACTTTTTAAAATCTCGCTTCCTTGGTGTCTGTCATTTCAGTTGATTGGTCTGTGTTTATGTTTCCAGTATTTTATGAAGAAACCGAGGAGCATCTTTGCACTTGCTCCTATTTCTCGGATTTACTATATATTACTGTTAATTAAACAATAATGGACATCAGCTGGGATAATTTTTATTTACTGTAACTGTTAAAATGTTAATTCATTAAGAACCTAATGAAACAAAGTTTGCAGAATACATCTGTGTATTTCTATACATATTTAAGAATTCCTAATAGAAGAAAGTCACTTGGTTGACTTAAACATGATTGAGATAAGAGAATAAACCTACATATTAAAAGATGAGACAAAATAATGACATTGGTGACAATCATAGAGAGTGTAGCTCCAAAATAAGCAAAATAAAGGAAAATTATGAGTTAATACTAAAATTCAAGATATAAGAAAACGCATTAACATTGAATTCATTTGAGCCACATTTTACAATGTGATAACCGAAGTATTAAACTACACTTTGTGATTAGTTCTCAGACCTCAAATAAGAAGTCCGCTTCTTTTCAACACGGATCAGTTCAAGATTAATTAACTTTGCAAAATGATGTCATTTTTTGATGTAGCCATTCATAACCTTATCTAGGACTAATTCAATGCTAACACACCATGTTTGAGTAGGCATCGATCATGTCGTATATATGTTCAAACCTTCGTCATGTGGCTCATTTCTTTTATCTATAACCCTACGTCCAATAATAACAACACTCTTCTGGTGGCTCCATCATCTGTGGGCAGTGATTCGATGATATCAATATTCAAATATTAGCTAAGTAAGAATTCTTAAACAAGCTAAATTTGATGAACTAGTACTTTGTACAACTAATCTGAACATTTTTAAGACTAAAAAAAGGATTATTCCTCCTTTCTAAAATCTAGGATCCACTTAGTTTTCCAGATTCGTGTTAAACTACTGACAATACTTATGAATCTATATGAACATATCTTTAAAAATTTCAAAAACACTAATGTGTTCATTCGGCAAATAGGTTTTACTTACGAAGTCCCCAGAATTTCAATAAAAGGTATGTTTATATATATAGCCCTTAAAGTTGAAAATGCGACAAGTTTTTAACAAGATCCTGTTTGAAAATTCTATAGTGGAAGGTCTTTCTTTAGAAATGTGTCATTGAATACATTGATATTAGCCATCCTTTCAAAGCAAGCTTAATTTTGACGGAGATTTTCATCGCACCAAGTGATTTTAGCACGCTTTTACCCTTTTCGAGTTTTATCTAACCCCATGAATTATTAGATACTTTACTAAAGATCTACTCTCACTTACGTTTAAGTATAACATCCGATCGGTCAATTTTATTGATAGATACAGGTTTTGGAAAATATTTATCTTCCGGTTTTATATGATGATTGACATGGATAATTTTCGGTTGTTTATTAATTGTATAATTGCGTTTTTGCAATTCCACATGACTTAACCAACTAACCGGACATCTTTCAGGTTCTGACCCAGCACTTAATTGAACATTCCATTCGCAAGGAATTTCATACAGAAGATCTTTGTATTTGAATACGATCATATTCATTATATCCTGAAATGCAGATAAGTGAAACCGAAGTGTAAAAATTATTGGTAAGTTTATTACTTTCTGAGTAATAAATAAAGTTATTTGTTATATCATATGAAATGAATTTGTTTAATATTAATCGATAAAGGTATGCTCTCACGGGTTCAACTAATCAAAGAATGATCATCGAATTTCCGCTCAGAACTTCCAAAATGTTACTTAATGTACTGGAGAAAATATTAGGTTAGTAAATGGTTATGCAGTTAAGAATTCATTTGATCAATATAACACTTGAATTCGGATATTACTATAGAAAGACAGAAACTACTCTACGATAGTGAGAAAACAACTTAATATCACTGAATTTTCATAGGTAAATAAATTTTATTATCGAAATATCTGCATTGCATTATTTTACATTATACATGTGAAGAAGTTCAAACCGAAACACAGAAACTAACTTCAGTACAGGTCTGTACAAACAATCGTTTTACTCTGATTTGATATTCGTATAACAGTTCTTAAATAGGAACACTGAGAGCAGTATTCAATGAAGAATCGATCTGAATTACTAATTATGGAACCAAATTTTACAACACTCTTGAGTTCGAGCGTAATCTTAAACTTTGTTATTGTTAAAATCTTAGAAATTTTAAAATTGTGCCGAGTTATTATTGATACTAAACTTCTTGACAGATTTTAATACAGTAAAATATTTGCAATATCGTATTCTTTCTCTCAATTCATTACTGGTTAAAATCGATGGTTCAAATTGTACTATTCAGTTTTTCATTTGTAAGATTAGTAACATTTAGAGCGACATGAAACATAATTATAATCACAGAAGTAACGCCCACTTGTTGAAAGAATTCTTCAGAAACCAATATCAGATTATTTATAGTAATCATTTGAGAAGTAAACTTTCTGATTTTAATATTGTAAGAGAAAAAGGAGCAGAAAAAGTGTTCATAACAAAATCCCCAACAATTTTAAGGGGATTTCTGAGAATGATATAATTTCGTTTCTCCATAATGAACACGTTCTTTACAGGCAAGAATAACTCATTAATAAGGCTCAAAAACGTATTGCCAGGATAGTTTTATTATCAACTAAAAAGAACCATATGATGTAAAGTGCATTGAAATGAACATCCGTACAGTCATATCTATGATAATTGACAGAATTAATCTGCATAACAATGGTAAGGAAATATCTTTATTTGGGCATTGATTGTGTTTAAAATTTCATGTATTCGTAATGTGTCTCGACTCACTTGCTCTCCTGTGATTAGGTATCCTTTAATTTGCAACAAGTGTACAGTTATGCTCAACCATATATCATTCCACATCATCAAACGTAGTTGTGACAAGTCGAACAATAAAATCCCACCATTATATCCGTAACCCTGAAATGAAAATATGAACGTGACATTCTATATTTTGCTTTGTTAAAATTAAGTTAGTTGTTGATTAATTGACTTATTAATTTTTAATATTTACACTTGTAGTAGTAGTTCGAACAGATAAGCTGAATGACTGATATTAACGTAGTATTATTTTACTCGGAAATATGTATTTTGAAATTTATCACTTGAAAAAGATGACTGTTTTGGTAAAATTTGTTGATCGGTTCATGATTTGAGTGAAACAAGAATATGTCCGATTGTAAACAATCACATCACAACTTACTAATACATTATGTAAAAGATGTAAAGGCATTCGAAATGGCAAACTATTATCTCTCTGGGTATCTCGTCTTCGTTCACTAACAGTGCACTGTCACAGATGGCCGATTAGATTTATAAAAGTTGGCAGAGCCAGAGATCGACATTAAAGTTTCCCTATGAATACTAACAGAATTCTGTCTAATTTTTTTCACTTTATTTGTAGAAAGTTAGATACAAGAGAGTTTCTACTGTACTCTGGTCACAAATAAGTAAATACTCCACACACTCAGGGAGTTGCTCTGATGTTGTTCAGAGAAGAGCAAAAAGCACTTATGGGATGGGAATCTCATGGATTCAGAATCATCAAAGAATCTTTCAAAACAAAGAAAGATAAAGCAATGAATTTTATCCAGTGCAGTGCGTCCACTAATGATAGCAGCGAAGACGATGAATATCAGTTTTATGAAGCTGCAGTCGATTGTAGAAAAGTGTCACGGAAAGGACCTAACCATCCTGATAGAAGACCTAAACGCAAAGTCGGGTGGACAACACTGGGTATGAGGATATCATAATTGCATCACTAAAAATCTAGAAGGTCAGTGGAAGAAGTTAGAACCAGGTGAAGAGCTTCAGATCACCAAATGGTGGTTGTCAAGATGAAATGATGCTAAAAAGGCACTGGACAACTGGAGGAACAGCATTACAATGATTTATTAGCGCCTTCCTTTGAGATACTGACAAACTCAACAAATTCAGGATAACTCTAAACAGCATGTTCCAAGTCTTGCAAGATGTACTTAAGGAAGAGAAAGCTAATATGAAGGATAAATGGAAAGGAATCAAAGAAACAGTAACTTCAACGTGTCAGGAAGTGCTGGGCCGCAGCAAGCATCATCACAATGAACGGATCTATGTCGAAACCCAGGGCAGTATTCAAGAAAGGAAGAACAAAAAGACGGCAATTAATAACAGTCAAACAAGATTAGGGAAAGTCAAGGCACATATCGAATGCACAGAAGCAAATAATCGAATGAAGAGTAGCATTAGAGCCGACAAGCAGAAATACGTGGAAGACCTAGCAATGACAACAGAAAACTCCGCAAAAGAAGGAAATATGAGAACATAGTAAACAAGAGTGATCAACCAAGGACAAAGAATGCAAGCGAACCACTGAGATTCACGAACAGTGAAATGGATAGGTAGGGCACTTTGAAGCGCTCAAGAATAGACCAACACCACCGAACCCATCGGACGTCAAAGAGGCTTTCAAAAACCTTCTTGAAGACGTTACTGTACAGCTGGGTATAAAATCCACGAAGTAAAGTCAGCTAAGTGTATCGTAGTCAGTGATTGCAGCTATGTTATCGTTTATTCAGTCAATCAGTTGTAGACAACTCAGAGTAATTTCTGTTATAAAATTATTTGGATGTATGACTTCTGTGGTGTGTCGTAATCTTACTGCACAACACTTAACACGTCTCTTGCATGATGGAGCGATATTTTCGTCACGTAATACTTGACATTTTTAATGTAAGCTATTAAAAACGACAGAGAACAAAATACACCCTCCATTATGGATTATGATTGTCTAAATAGTAATTCACACTTCATTTTGGTCGGTTTCCAGGTACAAAGTCAAAACTGAGAACGAGATTGTAGTTTACTCTCACTCCAGCCGAAGCACTGAAGTCAGACATAGAGATAACCGCAAATATGATCCCCGTTCTGTTCAGAAAGATATACGAAAGAAGACAAGTGCTGACAGGTTGAAAAGAAGAATATCACGTCAAAATACGAATGAACGAAGACCTCAGAAAGTGTGAGGAATACAGAGGCATCAGTACCAGGAAATTGTTGTCGAACCTAATAAAAGATTAAGTAGACGCCCAGTTGCCAGATCAACAGTTTGAATTCCGTAAGGATCGATCGTTCACAGATGAAATCGCGACACTACAGATGGTTGTTGAACGGTCAAATCTTGGGAAGACCAGCCTTACAGAATCCACCAAACATCAAAGCAGCATCTACAGGTATTTCTATGTATATTACGAAACCAGCGATCAAAAAAATCAGAATGGCCACCAGAAAAATCGGCTGAAGCACTTGAAATCAGATATACAAGCAACTCCAATGATGCTCCACCTTCTATGCTGAAAGATTTGGGAGGAAGAACAATATCAGCAGACTGGAAAGAAGGATACCTCATCCAGATACTAAAGAAAGAAGATCTGAGCAAATGTGGGACTTACAGAGACATCACATTACTATTGGTACCACGAAAAAGTTTCTTCAGAGTGTTGCTGACTTCCAACTTCGAGATCGACAGGCCAGATTCCGTAGGGATCGGTCGTGCACAGACCGAATTGCGACGCTACGGATCATCGCCGAACAATCAGTTGACTGGAACGCGTCATTATACATCAAATTCAATGAATATGAGGAGGGCCAATAGGAGAACCTTATGGAGTCTTCATCAACACTGTGGTGTACCTGGGAAGACCGTCACCATCATACGGAACAATTAGTATGAACTACACTGCAAAGTCGTACACGCGGGACAGCTGACAGACTCATTTCAAGTGAGAGCCGGAGTCAGACAAGGCTGCTTACTCTCGTCTTTGCTCTTCCTTCTGGTGGTCAACTGGATTATGAAGACCATGACATCTGAGGGAGAGCACGGAATACAATGGGCAGCTTGGATGCGACTAGACGATTTGGACTTCACAGGTGACCTATCACTCCTGTCCCATACACACCAACAAGTGCAGATGAAGACAACTAGTGTAGCAGCAGCCTCTGCATCAGTAGGCCTCAACATGCACAAGGGAAAAAGCAACATCTTCAAACACAACACAGAGAACACAAAACCAATCAAAATTGATGGAGGAACTCTGGAAGAGGTGGAAACTTTCACTTACCTGGGCAGTATCATCGATGAACAAGGGGATCTGATACAGACGTAAAGGCAACGATTATCAAAGCGAGATCAGCATTCCTACAATTAAGGAACATTTGGAACACAAAACAACTCTCAACCAACATCAAAGTCACAGTCTTCAATACGAACGTCGAGACAGTTCTACTGTACGGAGCTGAAACTTGGAGGACTACTACAACCGTCACCAAAAAAGCACAAGTATTTGTAAACAATCGTCTACGCAAGATACTGAAACAACCAGCTTCCAACTGAAGAGGAAATTAGGAAAAGACGTTGGAGGTGGACAGGACACAGATTACGGAAATCACCAAACTGCATCACGAGGTGAGCACTAACTTGGAATCCTGAAGGGAGACGGAAAAGAGAAAGACCAATAAAGACAATGAGTTGGGAATCGGCGGGAAAAATCAAAGAATGTATAGCGATTGGAGACAACTGGAAAGTTCAGCCTTGGACAGAGTTGGTTGGAGAATTCTGGTGGGAGGCTTATTATTCACGAGGCGTAATTGATATATATAAGCAAGTAAGTAAACTTATTTGCTCTGAAGAAATGGAACCTAATATGTGAAGGTTAATTTTTTTAAAACATACTCTGTAAATACTTTTCAATAAAGAGCTACCCAGTTTATCAATAAAACAAACGATATATATTTGTAGATGTAACTTTACAACAGTATCAAAAAATGATAGCTGACTTTATACTCATATTTAGAATACATTATCAAACATCACGTAATGTGAATTATTTTGAAAAAAACTTGGGTTGCATCAAACTGTCTGGCTCTTAATAATAATATTGTCAATAAATGTAACAGAACGTTCACACTTACTTCCCAGTCACTGATTAAATTTTTCATAACTTCTTGAAAATACGGATTTTGTTCCAACCCAATGCCTATCATCTTTAGGAAAGAAACAAGAAAACACAAAATATGATGTACCAAATATGATCAAAATATAGAAGAAGTTTGAGTACATCAGAAATAATGAATTCATTTATTTAGTGAATTCTCTTCACTTGTGTACAATGTAGATACAATAGTAATGATGACTTAAAGGCAGTATTCATACATTATAATCTACTAGTGAAAATTTTATAAAAAGATAATAAATATGGGTGAATTCTAGATATATTCCACTAGTTGAACAATTATGTGTGAATTCTAATAGGGAACTTCTGGAAACACATGGAGACACGTTTCTATAACAATAGAAGAGGGCGATAAAAGTTACGCACTGACACTTAATATCCATATTGTTTTACTGACTTCGCCGTTTGACTATAAAATTTATAACGATGATAAATTATAAGATGGTGGTTGGAGGTAGTCAACAGGAAACCCTGGACCTAGGCTTCGTACTACTTGGTACTCGTCAGCGAGGTGTACCTGTAATCCTGAGGGAACTGGTACTCCCTGATGGATTCGATCCCGTGTTACCCAACTCCACAGTCAGAGACGTTACCACTGAGCTATCCGGGCCGTGACTGACTTCCTGTAGGACTGAGATAAATTTACAATTGATTGATTACAGGGTGGCGATCAATGTCATGTATGTCCGGTCCTTATTAGTGCAGTTCGAATTGTATCGGCAAAGTAACACGAAACCTAGGTTCAGGGTTTCCTATCGACTATCTCCAACCACCGTTTTATTTCAACATGGTACACGCAATGTCGAGTCACCTAGACTGGTGGCCACATTGCAACTTGGTCGATAGTATTTGATCTGCAGTAAGAAGAACCTGACATACGTGACATTGATCATCAGCCAGTGATCGATCAATTGTGAAGATAAATTATATTAATTATAATAAACCAACTATTAATTACGCTGACGCTTATTACTTATACTTGAAAAGAGCAACGAGAAACTACTACAACTCCCACGACGAGAAGTAAAGACACCATGAATAAGTGAAGATTCATTAACCCCAGAACACGACTATGAGCCTAGTCGAAACTACACTCATTTATATATTGATTGTACACATATCTTGTCTATTAATTAGAATAAAATCACATGGATGAGAAAATCTCGAGTTATAACGAATCATATGCTGCATATCATACTGAGCAAAGGTTATGTTAATTTAATACAGGAATATTGTATCTTGCATAAACATGATAGTGAAATAAATCAATGTTACATCGAATAAAATATCACATTGGAAAACAGAAACAAATATTACTCCGATTAATTAACGTACTGAATTAAAAAAATAAACGGAAGTAATATTGAACAAGAAGTCACAAGGAGCAAAAGAATCTAATTTCGCTTTTTAATCCCATCATATCATGAATAAAAAGTGTGCGTAAGACATTCGGAAAATTAACGTCAATTTACGACTAAGATGTTCGTTTTTCAGTACTACACTTATATTTAGACAGATATAGTTTCATATTAAAGTTTGAGTCAAATAACAACATTGATGATAATTCAATTTTTCAAAAGTTTCCTAAAAGTGTATTGAGTAGAAGGATTGCTACGACTGAGATTTTATAGTATATATATATCTTGTCAGCAGTATGTACAGTGTTGACTACAATATTTATATTGGGCTTTAATCTTATTTGTATTTATGAATCGTTGGAATGTGAAAATTGAATCCACATGTTCTGAGTAAGAAAGATATTTCACAAAACATTTCATTAGTTAAAGAAGTCATTTTTGTCTGACTTTTTGTACTCTAGCTTGTTATTTTTCCAAGCAATAATACCTACGTGGTCTATGCTTATCGATTCAGGCCATCGTTTAATATTCAGTCATTGTTTAGAACGCTTATAACATCGAAAATGAAACTAAACACTGGATTTTTATGAGTAATATGTCTTTTTCAGCTGCAGTAAAGTTGCACTATTCAGTCTGAATAACAATAAACATTGCTCTTGATGATTTATTTAATTTAATAAAAGCAGTATTCAATCAAAACTTTGTTAATCAAAATAGTATTAATCCTATATGCACTTATGAATCTGCCAGTTTATGACGTCCGATTTTTCCTAATCAGTTCATTCATCTCCACATCACTTTCTCACCCTAGATCTTGGACAAGCTCGCTTTTATTGGAGTTTGTAATCGATATGTCATTCTATTTGTTACTCCTGTGGATTGTATACATTGACAACATACATTTTTCGAAAATTTTTGATTTCGTAATCACATCAGCTTACTCGCTATTAATTGAATGTTTAATAAAATGGTGCTGTAATATCTATAGTTATACTTTAGTCTTCTAATCGGTAATGAATGAACGTAGTTATTATACGCCAGTGATATTTATGGAAGTATCATTAACATGTTGTTTATTGGCTCACTGATTGTATTCCGACCCATTGATCAGTATTTCTGTAAACTACTTGGAGGATTTACAGAGCGTCTATTACAAACTGTATTCATTTCATTCAACTCGTTTCCAAAGTAACAGTTTATCTGTTTTCTTTCATATTATACTTTAATATTTCAACGACTAAATACTTTATTTAGCTGAGTATAATTTTTTTAAAAAGAAATAAAAATATAATTGGTATGGTATTGTTGCACAGATTGCTAAAAATTGGTAGTTTGTAGTAAAAAGTTATGTATTGGGGTTAAATGAATCGCTAGTACTGGATTTGAGATAATTTCACATGTCAGTTAATTTGAAAGAAAAAAAAAATGATCAAAGACAACCTAATGAGGATCAAAGTCAAATGCTTTTCAGTAATATTTTGCTTCATCGAAATTAAATTCACAAGATTAAACATCCGTTGATAAATGGATTAAAATCAATCGCTATAGAGTAAAATATTGGAATATTCGAAATAGTAATACTATTAATGAGAATAGTGAATTTCTGTACATTTTGCTAGATTCTATTAATCTAAGATGAGAATAATTTGAAAAACAATCTAGTGATAAATTCACGTCTGAATATATTAGATGCGGTCGAGTTAAACTATAATTAGTTTACAGTTCATACAAAATATGTCTTAAAATAAAGTAACTAAATATATGAGGATCAGAAATTTGAAATTAAGAACTAACTAACCTGGGTTTCTTGAAATTTCTCAAAGTGATTCCATAGTTCAACAATGTTAGTGTTAAGAATCATATGGAGATCAAGTACAATGACCTGGAACATAAATCAGAATTATCGCAAAAGATGATTGTTATTAAACACTACAATATCCTGTTATAACATGATCAGGTAGCTCTCAGCATGAACATTTAGGGAATCAATCGTCCTGCTAATTGCTGACCACTTAAAATTTAAAAAATTTGTCATTCATCTTTAGTAAGAATTTCCAAATTTTCCTCAGTACCATGGATAACGCGATGGCGTTTGAAGCGGGTGGTACTGGGTTCGAGTCCCAGAGTGAACATCAACTGTCAGATGCAGGTACATCCAGCTGACGAGTCCTAAATAGGACGAAACGCGCGTCCTGGATTCCACTGCTAGCGACTACCCATCTTTGCCTATAGATCGGACAGGTTTACAAAGTAAAACTTAACATCAACTATCACTAAAATCTATAGATAAAGTACTCAGATTTTATTAAAACAAACCGTGTGTAATTACGTTACCCAAACCAGCTCCATAAAAATGTGTAAAAGCACTGCATAATATTTTCTAATTCAGTTTCATCCAGTTTCTCTAATGTGTTTATTATATAGTTTGAAAAGATTTAGTTTAAGTTTACTGTACACATAGTATTCCCTTGGGTTATCTCTTTCGTGTGAATTTTAAAAAAATACACTACAAAATCGTCATATTGGTCCACTTTACTGATCAAACTTTTGAGATATACGAAACAAATAATATCTTCAAGCTGTAGCCAAAGATAGTCTACAGTTTATAACAAGATCCTGAAAATATCTGATGAAATTTACAGTAGAATAGTTGCTTAGGCTTTCAAAGACATACAGTCAATCATAGGAAAGAGTGTTAATCATTAACTGCAGAACTTTGTTTTTATGATAGTTTTTGTCAATCATTCGCAATTTGAACACATAGATGGTGATAATAAATTAATCGGGGAGTATCTTGGGTCTAAGAACTAGTTTGTACGGCTACTCAAACGTTTTCTCATAGCTCATTTTGGAGTTACGATGTTTTAAATTAGTCAGTTACTATTTGTTATATCGAACAGTATTACCGAGAAATCCGAATCATTATATGAGATCTTAGTTTTCATAAATACTAGCTGGTAAAGGCTGATATTACAGTACTCCAAAATTTTCGTAGATTATTTTCAGTCAAGTTCAGACGGTAAACCATGACATCGTGAAGTAATCTTTGTTTTATTTCGTACATTGTGTTGAGAATATTTCCATTATTCGACAGGATCTTCTCCGGATGATGCCTTAGAAATTATTCTGTGAATTTCGTGATTATTTGCAAAGATCAAGGTCATAAGAAAAATCATTTCTACTAAAATAATAATAAAAATATTCATACTCTTTTAACCAAGTTTACAAAGACTGAAAGTACAAGATTACAGTTATTTTAGCAGAATAAGTATACCACACATGTTTCTGTTTTCATCGGGACATAAACATTTTTTATTTTTAAAAAAACAATATGGCTGTTGTTTCGAAGAAATTTTATCTGGTGGACCTTCAAGATAGACTAATAAAGGATGCTATTCTGTCGCTTTTTCGCGAGTCATATAACTGCACGACTAACAACAAAAAATACCAATTAGTTCTATCACAATATTGTATCATAAAGCAAACGGTGACATATTTTGTTTACAGAAGGTGGGAGAATCTCAGGGAGTAATAGTTTTACAAATGGCTTTGCACCTGAAGGATGTTTGGATACGATCCATTGAAGTCTGTCCTATAAAAGTATTACATATCATACAAAAAACAAATGACATTAATCGCATTCAACCTATATTACTGAAATTTTCTCTAAATT